GTTATTCCAAAACTCACTATACTAGTTGAATTAAAAGATATATATATAATCATGCATTTTCTTTTACAAGTAAAAAAATATAATGTGAATTTTTCTATTGATAAACAAAGCTTATCAGTAAAGAACTATTTTATTTACTAAGGAATTATACATTTGAGATATGGATCATAGAAGTTGACCTTGTTTCCATTGTCCATACCTCGCCAACCCAATGTAATATTATTTCTAAAAACCAAATGGTGGCTTCTTGTTTATGTTTTATTGAAATTACAAATTCAAAATAATTTGTTGTAACATGATTAAGAACTGAAGGTATAACTTTGAACAGACCATTCTTTTTCGTTTTCTTAATAAACTATAGCCGAACTTTTGCGAGGTAATAAATTAAATTGCAAACAACGTGTGTACAAAGAATCACACTCCTTGTTTAGAAAAGTCATGTGGTTTTACTAGTAGCAAATGAAAATTTCCTTCGATTTTAATAGTAAAAATTGAAATGTTTCACGAAAAAATTACATAGTGTCTGAAATTGAGTGCGGGGGTTTGTGTTACATATTGAATTTAGCCAATCAACGTTAAATTTTCTACCAGAAGGACAAATTTGATTGGCTAAATTCAATATGTAACACAAACCCCCGCACTCAATTTCAGACACTGGCTACAGCAACAGGAGAGACTGTTCTGGGAACATAAAAATTAACAGGAGGGAATACAAAATTTAACCTATGCTATTTGTTGATTGACCAATTAAAATCGCGAATTTGATAATGTAGAAATAAATATGGGTTTGATTCATTTTGTCAACAATCACTTCACCAACAATTGTTTCATTAACGAATTTAAGAAGTTGGAAGAAATAGTCTAATAAATTAAATTGTACTACTCGAAAATGTATTTAAAGGGTTGGTTTTTGACTTGGTCGAAGAATAACTCTCTTCCTTGACCATATCTCTCAATATAATCAAAATAACCTTAATCTAATGAATGTCAATGAATGATTGTAAACACAACAAATTTAAAGATATATGATTGTGACAAAAAATGAACAATGTATGAAAAATCAAGCAAATTTATTTAATAAAAACAAAATTTACAATCCAAAAATTTTTTTGCATGTTCTAATAAAATCTCCATTGTTGCTGTCATCTGTTGCTGATTCAACATTACCTGGATCCATCATCAACTGTATCTTCATTATTTTCAGTAAATTCATTTTTATTTAATATTTTCCATCATACTTTCTTTTAGTGTATTGACCAGTGTTCCATGTCGCAATCCAAAAAAGGAAACAAAATGGTTGTAAAGGTGGTTGCAACCAGTGGTTGCAATAATTTTTATATGACGCAAAGATGGTAGCAACCATCATCAAAAGTTGCATCCGGTATCCTTAGTGTTGACATTTTTTGATTTCGACTTGAAGGTAGTCCAAGATATCAAAAATTTAGATTGAAAACTTTGTAGACAATGATTGTGATAACATGGTGCACTACAATTATTCAAATTAGTATAGTTAGTGTAATCACAATATATGTAATTACAAAAAATGTTTGTAGATGGTTTCCTAGAAGTAACAAAGTTTTAATAATTAAAGGATGGATACTGATTTTGTGCTTGATATACTGGTAGTATCATATTGTCTCTGGACATGAATCGTCATCAACATTCAACAAGAATGTATTTTTTGAATATTTTGTAAGTGCATTCTCATGTTCATCTGCAACTTGCTTCTTTTTACGATCTACTGCTCTTGATGTTGTAGTTACTCCAAGACTTGTATCTACCAAGTCTAAATAGAATGCAAGGTCGAACTTAAAAGAGTTGATTTTGTATTATTTAATAAAACAAGAACATATCGGCCGATTTGGTTTTTTGTGCCTTTTTTCAAACCTTATGCTTTATTGTGTCTCAATGTTAAGCACGAGTATTTTTAATATGTAAACTGGTCGGTAGAATGATAATTAACCCTAAAAAAATTATTTGCTCCGCTAAAAAAACTAGGAAAAGAATCATCTAGATCATCATTATCACTATCAAAGATTAATTATTTCTTTTTGTTTTTTTTTTCCTGTTGTTGTTCATTCAAATTTTTATTATATTGTGAATATTTACATTTACTATTATTATTATTGTAATTACCAGAACTAATTCCACATGGTTTCCATATTTTTAGGTATTAGTATTGGTATTAGTATGTGAAAGCGCATTTTCCCACATTAGTATCTATTCCATATCAAAATGTGTTTGCCTGGTGCATTCCATATCAAAACACGCCTTTTCCGTATTCAGACCGCATCTATTCGGTATTAGTACCCATTATGTACATAGCCTTTTATAGGGCATAGATTTGTCAAGGTGAATTGGTTATAAGCACATTTATTTTAAAAATGCGGACATCCGTATAAAATACTAATACATTCAAGCATCGTTTTAATGGTACTGATCACCAAAATTCGTTGTAATGATCAATACAGTTTTTAATGGATGATGATGTTGTTGAGACATTTTCAAAGGTTTTAATCGTAAAATTTTTATTTGATAAAAGAAAATTTCATCTTTATTTATACAGATTTCTTGGTGTTATTTTTTTTATTTTAATTAAACAATTTTATTATTGTTCATTAATATTAATATTATCGTAGTCTTTTTTAAATTCGTTGTAACGCGGTTAGTACTATTACTATTTGAATGGATGGTAATATTTGGCCTGATAAATAAAAATTCATTAATATTAAAAGAGATTCATTATAAAATGTATTATTATTGTGAATCCTATTTAATCCTTCATCCAGTAAATGATTGGTTAAATATGCAAAATGATTGATGAATTTTCAGATAGGATATTTGCTGGAGAAGTCCCATAGAACATTT